ATATTATGGCTAAGGTAGGTCCTGGTCCAGAGTCTCCTCTGTTTTACGGGGGAAAAGGTGCAGCTTCTCAGAGCTGGGAGTTTGCACCTTGACCCTGTTAGCCCGATTCTTTAGCTGGAAACCTGAGAATAAACCAGAGTAGATCAAAAGTATAGAAAATAACATTTATTAGGTCACAGTTAAGTATGTGTGTTTGTGTTGACCTAAAGGTGGATCTAATGCAATCAGAGAAAGAAAAAGAGAATCTGTGGACACAACCAGAGACTTTAACACAAAATATAGTTATACAAATGAAAATAAAATAAACAACACAAACTATAGTTCTATAAGGAAATAAAACAATCAGTGATTTGCAAAGATCATGTGATAGCATGCAATGCTAAAGTGAGTAGTTATAGCCAAATTCTAACAGGAGGACTGGACATAACTGAGTCCTATTGGCCAGTTACCTGTGGGCATGAACAGGCCAGGTCCTAATTCATGCAGATGACAGGAATGTGGTAACAAATGGTGTGTTTGTGTATGTTGACCTAAAGGTGGATCTAATGCCTTGAGACAAAAAGAGGAAAATAAAATCTGTGGTTACAGCCAGAGCCTTTAACACAAAAAATAGTTCTATTGGGAAATAAAACAATCAGTAATTTACACAGATCATGTGATAGCCTACAATGCTAAAGCGAGTAATTATAGCCAAATTCTATGTTGAGGAGGGTTTTAGGGTTTCAGGAATGGACTTTGATCTTCGATCTTCTCCCCTCTCCCTGCAGAGTTGCCACATTGGTGAGGAAGACGAAGGGGGAGAGCAGGAGGGGGAGGAGCCATCCTTTGAGGTGCGACAGACAGAGATGGTATGGGGGGACCAGGGGAGGGGACACAGGGGAGTCAGCGGAGAAGCAGCTCCCCCCCGGAGCGGCCACACCGTGACATCACACCCGGCACACCCCCCCCCCACCCAACACACGCCTTCCACAGCATATCCTCTCTGGTCCACTCACGCCGCGTGTCTCCTTCCTGACCTGTGCATGCCTTTGCTGGACTCCATTCGTTCTGAGGCTGCATGACCTGAGTGCAGAGAGATGGTGGAGCTAAACACAACCACCAGGCCACAGCGTTAGCTTTAAGCTAGGTCCGTTAGCCCCGGAAACCCCGTTCTTTAGTCGTAGACGGACTTATTGGGAAAAAAAAGAGCATTATTAGCCCTCGTTTGAGCCTGATTTGTGCTCCTAGCTGTGTTAACTATTAACTATTTTGTGCGTTTGCAGTCACTTGTCACCCGGATCTGATCCCGACTCACGCCTGCTGTGCTCACATTTTCCTTTTGTCGACCGACTCTGATTGATTCCGGCTCACTTGGAGGACTAACCGATTTTTGTTTGTTGTCTTTACTTTGATTTGGACGGCGCTAACAAACCCTCCTCTGTGCTCGCCAGGGACTACAGTAAAAGCCTGCACAGTCCGAGCTCACGCCAGCAAACACTTGAGTCACCACACACACACACACACACACACCCACAAACACACACACACACACACATTCATAACTGAACCTCCCACCGCTCCCACAAAGGCACACAACAATAAGCAGAAGCTCTGTAACCAGAGGAAAATAAATCTGTGCAGCATTTTTTAAAGACAGGCTCACGTGGGAGGGGGGGTGGAGGGGTTTGGGGGGGTGGGGGGGGCAGAGGGAGGGGTGGATGTGGTTCTGTGTGTCTTGGGAGGTGCATGGTGTGCGATGGGTGGGTCAGATCTAACCCCTTTTGTCAACAGGAAGGTGTGTGTCACCCCAGACTTCCCCTGGTTAAATAAATAAAATAAAAGTATGAGATGGAAAACCAGACATGAAGAAGGTTTACTGTCCCTCTCAGGCTTGTTTGGGACCCAGAAAATGACCCAGAATTCTGTCCCAGAGGGTCGGAAATACCTGAAAAGAAGGAGAAAGTAGAGGGAAAAGTAGATGAACGGATAAGAAATGGGATGAGAGTCTTCATTAGCAGGTTTGAAAGCAGGGAAACATCTAAATCCTGCATTAAAGTGGCCCCTTAAGACCAGATCTGGACACTTTTGAACATCCAAATGTCAAAAAATGTCAGAAATTAGGGTGTGTTTGAGGTGTGGCCCTGATCATGGACCTAAATTACTTATTTTAAGAACGACTCTCATCTTTTTTGCATCTTAAAATGCTGAAAGGGAGCCAAGACAGAAGCCAGACCCACCCTAAACCGTTCAGCTGGATTTGGAGGTTGCATGCTGTGTTACTCAGACTTGGAGGAGTGTGTGAAGTGTGTGTTGTGTACTGTTGGACAAAGTTTTTGCAGTGTTTCAAGAGTTGGAATAACTAATACACACTGTGTGAGAGAGAGAAAGAATGAATGAATGAATGGAGGCAGTTAAATCCACCTACCGGGAGTCAAAGTAAGTGGGGGAGTTTGGCCTTGAATACGAATATGAGTTCATTTCCTGGTATGATAGAGTCTGCTTCAGTGAGTTTTCATTAACTTTTTAGATTAAGCAAGACAAACAGGAAACTCAGGTTCCAAAGGTCAGAATTAACTTAATCACCGCGGTGTTTCTGATCTCAGATATGTTCAAAAACAGTTCTGATTTAAAGTTAATGGAAAGTGAGTGATAGATTAGGTAATTTTATAAGAAGAAAATATGCAAATTCTGTCTAAAACCTACAGGACAGGAAAGCAAAGACAAAGGAAAATAAGTAAATAAGTGGATAAATATTAATTAATGACGCTGTGAGATACAGGTTAAAAAAAACGGTGGAAATTGGACATTAACATAAATAAAAACACAATTTAAAACTAAATCAAACTGATTTCAACCTTGATTTCAACTTCTATTTTTATTTAAAAAAATTTTAACCGAGTTTTTTATTTAATCAGAATCAGCATCAGAATCAGAAATACTTTAATAATCCAAGAAGGAAATTATTTTTGTTACTAGCTCCATAAATAAAACGACAGCATATACATATATACATGTCTATATTTATATATATATATATATATATATATACAAAATTCCAAGTTTTTTTATTTAAACTTAAATTTTAAACCAGCCTGAAACCTTTTAATGATGAGCTCCGAAACCAGCAGCTCCAGTGTGGGCTTAGTATCGAGTTGTGGGCGGAGCCCCTTGTTGTGGGCGGAGCCCCTTGTTGTGGGCGGAGCCCCGCGTTGTGGGTGGCGGTCTGAGTGTGTGTGTGTGCCTGTGGGGGGCCGTGCAGGTCCTCCCTGCGGGCTTTCAGCCGGCTCCGTTGGCTCTGCTCCGCAGGAGAAGGAGATGGAGAAGCAGAGGCTGCTGTACCAGCAGTCCCGCCTGCACAACCGCGGGGCGGCCGAGATGGTGCTGCAGATGATCAGCGCCTGCAAAGGTACCACCCCCCCCACAAACCCCAAACCCACCCCCAACCCCCAACCCCATCTGCCCTCACACTGTCTTCCCTACCCCCAACCCCCAAAACCCCATCTGGCCTCCCACTGCTGATCCCTGTCTGTCTTCACGAAACTCTTGAAGACCCACCTGGGAATTGCTGGGTTTCTGCAATTAACTCATTGGCTGCCAAAGAGGTCTATAGACGTCAATTCAATTACAACCGTTGACTACCAAAGACGTCTGTAGACGTCTTTTATGTTTTTCAACACGAGTGGCTTGGGGGACGATCTGCTAAAGCTTGTCCGTAAATATCAGGCTTCTAGACAGAGTATGTAGTAACAAATTGACCCTCTAGGGGGCAGTGCCACTTTTGATGGGAGATGAGCATAGACTGTAGGCAAATAAGAAAAAGCTAACGGTTCGCTATGAGAGAACATGTCGCCGGTGAGACGCAAGTTGAGGAAGAACGGAATAAGGTAGAAACAATTATTTTTTCCTGATGAAAGAAGAGAGTCTACTCTTTCTTTTGGTGTGTTCGGTGTTTACATAGTCATAGCACAAACTATTCTGTGGCTCTTGAAAAATCAGTCAAAATGCTCAAAAAACTCTGGCAGTCAATGAGTTAACTTCAGAGTAGGATCTGACCTGCTCTGTTTGGAAAGCGCTTTGAGATATCTGTTCTTGTGATGGGGCGCTATATAAATAAAATTGAATTGAATTTAATTGAACCTCTTCAAAGAGCATCTCCTATCCTAACCCTAACCCGTACCTGTATCCCCCCACATCTCCTTCTGTAGTCCCTCTACCTCTATCTCTATCTCACCACTGACTCTGATCAGTGTTTCTCCTCTGTATAGCTTATTGTCATAGTGATGATAAATGTAATATTGTGTCTACTCTGTAAGTCGCTTTGGATAAAAGCGTCTGCTAAATGCAGAAACATAAACAGAAACATGTAGTCAGAGGAGCCAGCACCTCGTTGTCTGGCTTCTCCTTAGCGAAGCAGATAAAGAGGAGTGAGGTCATCTCACCAAAAATTCCTCATGGGCCCCATTTGTAAACCCGACCGGAGGGGATGGACCTAAATCAGTGTTTTTACTAGTGTGCCGTGAGTGATTGTCAGGTGTGCCGTAGAAAATCATCCTATTTCACCTAATTGGTCTAAAAAGATATTTTGATAAGGAATTAATTATCTGCAAATAATATGCCATTTTTGAGTGTCTGTGCTGAACTAGTGACTGGTGGAGTAATCATGTAATAATTCCTTATGACTAGATTTTGTGTATAATTTTGTATATTGAGGTGGACATGTTAAGTGCAATTTGAAAGAAAAAATATAAAATATGATAAAAATACATTTTTGTGTTTATTTGATTCCTATTCATGACACTTAATGTAAGATAAGAATAAAATAAGAATAACTATAGTGTCACTATAGGCGGCTACAGATTTGTTTGACATTTTTGGTTGGTGGTATGTGCCTCTGGAATTTTTCTATGAAAAAATGTACCTTGGCTCAAAAAAGGTTGAAAAACACTGACCTAAATGATGCTAAATGTAAAGTTCTGCTTGTTTCAGGCGAGCCAGGAGTCATGGTTTCTTCCACGCTCAAACTGGGAATCTCCATCCTCAACGGAGGCAACAGCGATGTGCAGCAGGTACGGGAGGCCGGAAAAGGCTGGGAAAACTCAGCCACGACAAAATGAAGGAGGCTTTTTAGACTTAGACTTGTACTTTATTGATCCCTAGGGAAGACTACCTCAGGACATTAAAGTTACCAGCAGCTTACAGGGCAAAAAAGTGGCACACAGAGAGCAAAATGCAAAAAAACAAACAAAAAATACAGATTAAGTACAGGTAGGTACACACTAATAATAAATACAAAGAAAAAAATAAAAAACCCTAAATTGATAAAAAATAATCAAAGAATAAGAATAAAAATACAACGTGAAAATAAAGACCCCTAAATTAAGCAAAAATAAGCAAAGAATAAGAATATAAATACAAAGTAAAAAATAAAAGCCCTTAAATTAAGCAAAAAAAAGCAAAGAATAAGAATAAAAATACAACGTGAAAATAAAGACCCCTAAAAAAAATCTAGGAGTTTGGTGGATAGATTGACCATTGATATGTGGTTTGGCCTGATAAATATGGAGTTCACGTTTTACAGAAAAATACAAGATACAAGCCCTCTGGCTGTCAGTAAAACTTCCATCAGCATTTCACGCATCGAGCAGTTTGAATTACCCAATTTTATCTAGAAAAGTCGGTCAGAATCTGGAAAAATGAACAATTTGTACAGTTCTGAGGAGTTTTTTAGGCCCAGCTCTTCTTCTTCTGTCCTCCACTGGTCCAGTTTCCTCAGATGTTTTAAGGACTCTGCTCACCAGCTCAGATCTTTACAGTTTCCAGCCAGCAGCTCTTTGGGAATTCTCAGAAATCCTCTTTCCTGTCTGTCAGACTGGCTTTTCTTTGGCATTTTTCGCCATCAGCTAAAGACACGGAAAAAATTCTGTGTTTTTGTGACGGGCTTCTCCTAACAAAGAGCCTAAAGATCCCCTTTAAAATACTTTTTCTGCTGAGCTGGACACAATGCTGGCTCAGCCCTTGAGTTACGGGCTTTTTTTTTTCCTGCCTGAATGCTTCATAAATCATTATGCGGGACTCCAACAAAGAAAGGAAATTTATCATTAAAATGGTAAATGAGGGAAAAAGCAGCCAGGGTCCCACAAAAATAAAAGAAAGATCCTCGGAAAAGCCGGTTAGACGCTTGTTTTCTGGGGTTTTATTTGTCTGACTCTTTCTCTTTTGTGCGTGTGCAGAAAATGTTGGACTACCTGAAGGATAAGAAGGACGTGGGCTTCTTCCTGAGCGTTCAGGCTCTGATGCAGACCTGCAGGTGGGGGATTTTTCTGACCCTCTCCTGCCGGGGAAACTGGTCTTTGTGAGACTGATTTCTGTTTGAAAACACTTCCTGTCTGCAGCGTTTTGGACTTGAATGCATTTGAGAGACAGAACAAGGCAGAAGGACTTGGGATGGTTTCAGAGGAGGGCGGCAGTGAGTATGCTGCGCACACACACACACACACACACACACACACACACACACACACACACACACACACACACACACACACATATGCCTGGTTCACACAGGATCTTGTGAGTGAATTCCTGGTTCCAGAGACTGGATCCCATGTGGATGCCTGGTTCTACGCACTAGAACCTGTGTGTGGATGCTTGGTTCCACAAATTGGATCCTGTGTGGATGCATGGTTCCATACTGGATCCCGTGTGGGTGCCTGGTTCCACAAACTTGATCCTGTGTGGATGCCTGGTTCCACACTAGATCCTGTGTGGATGCCTGGTTCCACACACTGGATCCTGTGTGGATGCCTGGTTCCACACTGGATCCTGTGTGGACGCCTGGTTCCACAGTAGATCCTGTGTGTGGATGTCTGGTTCCACACACTAGATCCTTTGCAAATGCCTGGTTCCACACTGGATCTTGTGTGGATTCCTGGTTCCACACTAGATCCTGTGTGGATGCCTGGTTCCAGACTGGATCCAGTGTGTGGATGTCTGGTTCCACACTGGATCCTTTCTGGATGCTTGGTTCCACTCTAGATCCAGTGTGGATTCCTGGTTCAACACTGGATCCTTTCTGAATGCTTGGTTCCACACTGGATCCTGTGTGGATGCCTGTTTCTACACACTGGATGCTTTGCAAATGCCTGGTTCCACACTGGATCTTGTGTGGATCCCTGGTTCCACACACTACATCCTTTGAAAATGCTTGGTTCTACACACTGGATCCTGTGTGGATGCCTGGTTCTACACTAGATCCCATGTAGATGTCTGGTTCCACACACTGGATCCTGTGTTGATCCCTGGTTCCACAAACTGGATCCTATGTGGATTCCTGGTTAACACTAGATCCCGTGTGGATTCCTGGTTCCACACTGGATCCTGTGTGGATGCCTGGTTCCATACTGGATCCCGTGTGTGGATCCCTGGTTCCACCCACTGGATCACCGCCCACTGAGGGTCAGGAGATGTCTGGACTCACTGCGTGTCTCTTTGTCTCTCTCCCCCCGACGCCTTGTTCACTTTTCCCCCCATTCGCCCTTTTTTTGTCCGTCCTACTCGTCCAATCGCTGCTCTCGCGGTTCTCAGATATGAAGCTAGAACGCGGTAAATGAAGATTTGCTGTGAAACACTTTCCTCCCTCTCTCACCCTTTCCTGTCCTCTCACCCCCTCCTCTCTCTCTCTCTCTCTCTCTCTCTCTCTCTGGCTCCTAATCACCCGACTAGTCTTTTCCTTGCTGTGAACTTACTAGGCATTTCATTTCACACTCAAGTTCTCGGCTAAAGGAAGCTTTGCGGTCGCCTCTTTAACGGAGGAAACCTGAGAGTAAACCAGAGTGGATCAAAAGTAAAAAAAAAACATTTATTGGGTCACAGTTAAGTGTATCAGCTGGGCTCTGACAGACTAAAACCTCTCTCTGGGTCTCAGTGGGCAAAGAGCCCTGAGATCTGGGTGATGGGCATTATCTCCTGGGCTCCATCCGCCTCCTCAAAGGAGGACTGGACACAACCAAGTCCTATTGGCCAGTTACCTCTGGGCAGGAACAGGCCAGGTCCTAATTCATGCAGATGACAGGAATGCGCTAACAAATGGTGTGTATTTGTGTTGACCTAAAGGTGGATCTAATGCAACAGAGAAAATAAAAAGAGAGAGGAGAGTCTATGGTTACAGACGGAGAATTTAAGACAAAAATATAGTTTTATAAGGAAATAAAACAATTAGTAATTTACATAAATTATTTGATAGCATACAATGTTAAAGTGAGTAGTTATAGCCAAATTCTAACAAGGCGACCGCAGCGCTCCGCTTTCATCCTTGAGTGTTTCTTTCAAATCTTTTGGATCACAGATCTACTGTAACTCCTTGGAGCCCGGTAGCTTTAGCTTTCCCCTCCAGCTCTTTGTGGTCACAGAGAGAAGGTCCATCCTCACAGCCAGATTTCTGTGGAACATCAGATCGGGAAAAGTCACAAGTCCGTCTGGCTGCAGACTGCAGGAAGCCAAGGATGGCTACCAACTCCATCCACATCCAAGTCGGCCATTTTATTAGGTCACCAATAGGAAGATCCCAGGCAAGAAAATCCTAATTGCTTCATGCCAATACAGACATTCATTTTAAAATAGTGAAATGAATCTTGCCAACACTGAATTAAACTCTATCCATAATATTATGTTAAAATAGTGGATGTTAAATAGGTTTGTACAATAAGTCCAAACAAGTTTAACCCAAAAAATATTTCTTTCTCACAATTATGAAGGGTGGAGGGTTAGGGTTAGGGTTGGGTTAGGACATCGTTTATCTTCTGATTTTGTGTAAACAGTAAAGTTTTGTTTCCACCTCAGAAAGCTGCTAGTCACATGACCTAATCAAAATGGCCGACTTGGATGTGGGAGGAGTTGGATATCCAGCCGAGGCTCCTACAGGCTGCAGCCAGAGGCTGCTCGACAGTTCCGATAGGATGAAAAATGCAGATCCTGGGTTCATGCTGTTTCCAGAGAGATATGACTTTGTTATCTATAAAGTTATCTGATGATGAAAAGCAGCAAAAGGCTCCAGCTTTGGTCTTTTAAAGATTCCCGTCATTTACAAATATGCAGCAAATTTGTGTCTGTCCGTCCTTTGCACCCCGCTTTCTTTTTAATATCCCCATCAAAGTATCAAAGCAGCTCACAGCTGCTGGTTCCTGTCCTGTGGTCCCTGTTTGTCTCCAGGATCGAGGTTTTAGGAAATCCCAAACGCTTGTTGTTTTGTTTTGTCTGACTTTGTACACAGAAACGGATTGGTCTGAGCATGCTAATGCATTGTTGTGAGAGACAGTGCTCTAAAAGCATGCTAATGAATTAGGTCAAAATATTGAAATCAGCCAAAGTGAGATGCTCCAAACAAAACAACAACTGATTTTGGTGTTAAAAAGTGAGTTTTTTACCACTGATTTCCACCCTGATGGATAACAGGGGATAGCTCACTGTGCATTTCACAGACTCAACATGATAAAGATGTGTTTGTTGGTTAGTCTGTTAGAGTTCTGCTTCCCCAAACGTCCAAAACCGAGCGAGTTTTGCAGAGTTTTGCAGAGTTTTGCAGAGTTGTGCAGAGTTGTGCAGCATTTTGCAGCGTTTTGCAGCGTTTTGCAGCGTTTCGCAGAGTTGGGCAGAGTTGTGTAGAGTTGTGCGGAGTTTTGCAGCATTTTGCAGCGTTTTGCAGCGTTTTGCAGAGTTGGGCAGAGTGCAGTAGATCTGTCCTGCATGGTGGTGTGGTGTGTAGACGTTTGAGTCTTTGTCTGTGTTGGTTTTTCCTGTTTCCTGTCCTCCTTTATGTGTTCATGTCCGTGTGATGTTACTGTCGTTTGCTTTGCTGTTCCTGTGAGTTCTGTTAAATGTAAAATGTGTTTTCCCTGTAAAACGATTAAACCGAGTGTTAGTTTTTGGAGAAGGAGCGGGAGAAGAGAAAAGGCCTCCAGCAGATAAGCGGATGGGAACTCAGAGGTCTTTGTGGTTTTTTTTAAACTAACAGAAGCTAATGGAAGCAGGCTGGAATGAGCTGACAGTACTTACGCATTTATTTTTTTTATCCATACACACAAAACATTTGTTTTTCTTTTTTTTAACAAGAGGACATAATCATAAATTATCTAGTTTTTGCTCGTTTTTTTTTTATCTAAAGGTTAAACCTCAGAAGAGCAACTGCACATGATGTCTTACAATCTGTTATTGACCTAAAATAAATAAAGTAAATATCGGTTTTTGCTGCCTAGATACTGACTGTTTGAAAGAACAGAGTAGAGAAAACGTATTTTTTCTAAAAGATGCTTCAGACTCACACGTGTGCTTCAGCTCTGCCTGCTGCTAAAAGAGTCGATTTATAGCTGATGTTACTAATACATTTCTGGTTGGTGTGATGAGCCTTTAACCAGCTCAGTTACCTCTAAAGGAAAATGGCTCGGTAATCTGAATTCTGCGAAAATGTACAGTAAATGTACACTTTTTTTGTTTTGTTTTAGATTCAACATGTGGAATTATTTAGAAAAGTTTTCTCATCTCTGTCTGATAGTTTCTCTTTCTGATAGGTGAAAGATAAAATCACCCATTTCCTCATTATGAAAAACCCAGTCTTTTTATAGTGGATAAAAAATAATATATATATATATATATATTATTAATTATTTGTATACAGTTTAAAAAGACTGGATTTTATTTATTTGTTTGTATTTATTTATTTATTTAATATATATTTAAAAAAATATATATATTTCATTATTTGTATACAGTTTAAAAAGACTGGATGTTATTTATTTGTTTGTTTGTTTGTATTTATTTATTTTTTAGTATAGATATATATAAAAATATAAAAAATATATATACATACATACATATATGTATAGATATTTATTATTTAATTTAATTTAATTTAATTTAATGTATTAATTTATTTTATCCCAGAGGACAGTTTATAAGCAGAACAGTGCAGGAAAAAATGCCTGTTTTGAACAGATCCAGTGGTTTAACCCTCCGTATCTTAACCTGAGCCCCATAGAGATCTAACCCCCTCCTCACCTCTGCTCACCGCTGTGGACTCCCCTGAAATAACTCTGAGCCCCCCCCCGTGCACTCACCCCCACCCCTCCCCCCCCCCTGCCTTTTTCAGATGAGAAAGTGATGGCGGATGACGAGTTCACCTGTGACCTGTTCCGCTTCCTGCAGCTCCTGTGTGAGGGCCACAACAACGGTGGGTCCCAGAGTCTCCTCTCATCCGTTTGAATTGAATTGAATTGAATTGAATATACTTTATTGATCTCCAGGGAGAAATTGACTTCCAGTACAGCCCGTACCAAGATCAAACAAACAAAAACACATAGACACACCAGTTCGGGAAGACTGAGGGCAGCCACACAGGAGAGCGCACCAATTTTTCTTCAGAACAAAAAGAATACATTGGGAAAGCGGTTGCGGGAAGAGGGGAAAAAAAAAAGCCCAGTGCCACGCCCCCTACAGGGGACGTAACAGTGATATAAAAAAAACACCTCAGTACACTAAAGCACAGATACAGTCAAATCACAACATCAAGGACACATAGGGAGGGAGGGATGGGGGGTTGGAAGGAAGGGGAAAGGTAACAGCGAGGCAGTGAGTTTCCAGTGGTTGTTGTCTTACTGGTTTTGATGGGAGCTCGTGGTGTGTGTGCAGACTTCCAGAACTACCTGCGCACGCAGACGGGCAGCACCACCACCATCAACGTCATCATCTGTACGGTGGACTACCTCCTCCGGCTGCAGGTTGGGGACGTTTTATTTTGAAGTAAAAGTCTGAGTCCATCTGAGGAAGTGAGAAATAGAAATGTATTAAAAGGGGAAAAAAAGGGAAAGGGAAAACTTCATGAAGTGAGAGCAGCCAGGATGACCATAAAGGTGGTTCATATGAGGCCCCAAAGTAAAACAAATCATGTAAAACATGGCTCTTAATTGTATAATTCAGAAAAAAACAACACAATTGATGTGTTTTTTAATTGGAAATTTGATCTAGCATGTCTCCACTATTAAGTTATATTTAGTGTAATAAGAGTTGCTTGTTCCATATTCAATGTTAAAGCAAAATTAGTTTAGTTCCATATTAAAAGGTTCATTTGTTCAATCTTTGTTCAGGTTTTAAATTTAGGCCTACTGTGTTTTTGAGTTTGACACCCCTGCCATAAATAGTTTGAGAGAAATCCTTTCCTAGAGGCATTATAATTCTAGGATTTGTAAATGTACAGGTACTTATATGTACTCTTGTACTAATATAGAGCTTTTCTAGCCACATAATTAGTGTAATTAAGCCAAAACATGCTCATCAAAGAGCACATATTGATCCTGTGTGTGTGTAGTTGTTTAAATTGGTTGTCCCCCCCCCCCCCGTGTGTGCAGGAGTCCATCAGTGACTTTTACTGGTATTACTCGGGAAAAGACATCATCGATGACCCCGGAAAGAGGAATTTCTCCAAAGCCATGACGGTGGCTAAGCAAGTCTTCAACAGCCTGACTGAGTACATCCAGGTACGAAACAGGACTCCACACGTGTATCTGGGTTAGTCCAGACCAGGACCAAGCCTTAGCCAGTCAAGACCAGGACTATCCCGGGTTAGTCCAGACCAGGACTAACCCTGGGTTGAGGGAAATCCTTTCATAGAGGCATTATAACCCGGGTCAGTCCAGACCAGGATTTAGCCTGAGCCGGTCCAGACCAGGACTAACCCGGGTTAGCCCAGACCAGGACTAACCCGTGTTAGTCCAGACCAGGACTAACCCGGGGTGAGTCCAGACCAGGACTTATCCTGAACCAGTCCAGACCAGGACTAACCCGGGTTATTCGAGACCGGGACTTCGCCTGAGCCAGTCTAGGCCAGGACTAACCTGAGTTAGCCCGGACCAGGACTTATCCTGGACCAGTCCAGACCAGGAGTAACCCCGGTCAGCCCAGACCAGGACTAACCCTGGTTAATAGCCTGAGCCAGTCCAGACCAGGACTAACCCGGGTTAGTCCAGACCAGGATTTAGCCTGAGCCAGTCCAAAATGGGACTAACCCGGGTTAGTCCAGACCAGGACCTAGCCTGAGCCGGTCCAGCCCGGACTCAGACTAACCTGGGTTAGCCCAGTCCAGGACTAACCCTGGTTGATATTCTGAGCCTGTCCAGACCGGGACGAACCCGGTTAGCCCAGACCAGGACTAACCCGGGTTAGCCCAGACCAGGATTTAGCCCAGACCAGGACTAACCTGGGTTAGCCCAGACCAGGACCTAGCCTGAGTGTGTGTGCTGGGACCTGCTGTCTTCCAGGGGCCGTGCACGGGGAACCAGCAGTCTCTGGCCCACAGCCGGCTGTGGGACGCCGTGGTGGGCTTCCTGCACGTCTTCGCCCACATGATGATGAAACTGGCTCAGGTGAGAACTGATTAAAAAAGAAAAAATTTTTTTAAAATAATTTATTACCTTCCTGTGTGTTTAACGGACTGCTTTATTTTATCTGGAGGTTATCTGTAGAGCACAAGGCGATTCAAAGTTTAGTCACAAAAGACAAAAAAAAAAGGTTTAAACAGAAAATAATTACTGTTAAAATCGAGTTAGAGAGATATTTCCAGCTGTCAGATCACAGCTGGGCAGATGTTTCCAGCCTGGATTTAAACCCTCAGAGTTCTGATCCAGGTTTTAGGAGCATGAAACTGAAATCAGCCTCTCCTGGTTCGGTTCTGGATCTGGGACCCAGCAGGAGACCAGAACCTGGTTCTCAGAGTCCAGCTGGTTTTTATTCCTCATACACGTTCCTAGACAATTTATTTAATAACGAGTTTACCAGTCAAATAAACTCTTTCTTTTTTAATCGAATTATTATTGAATTAAATTCTTACTATCTGACTTATTGTTTGATATGAATCTGTGTTGGACACATTTCAGAATTTTTAGAATTGATTAAAAAATGCTGTAAAATGTTAAAGATGAATGTAAATTGATTTTCTAAAAGGCATTTGAAGTTTCCCAGGACTTATTTTTAACAGCCGGTGACCACCTCCAGCCTCTTGAGCATTTTTCGTGATTTAATAAGATCCAACTGTCCCAGACAGGATTTGCTGGATCAGTTTTATTTGTTTGTCAAAATCTGTCTAGATTTTTGGGATATTATACCATTTCACTGTTGGCCACTTGTATACAGCTCAGTTATAAAAAAAGAAAGAAAAATGCTGCTAATTAAAGCTGGAATTATTCTAAAACCGAAGTAATTTTAGGTGTGAAATGATCTGGATAATTTTGTTACAGTTGTTCAATTTGGGTTATTTTATATTCTGAATAACTTTATTTAGGGTCTTAAGGATTTTAAAAAAAATATCTCATCTGAAAAATAATTTCCCTTTTTAAGTGAGAAATATAATATGTATATAATAATATAATATAATAATCCCCAAAACTGCCAGATGGGAGATTCAGTTGGATCAGAGGAGAATTTCAGCTCACATATTAACAAAGAATGAGGAAATATTCGAACCGGCTTAATGGATGAAGGCCTCGTGTAAACTTCAGGCTTATTCTCAGGCTGAACGTGAGTGAAATGTTGATGGATAACGTTTTTATTTCATGTGTGACCCTGTTAGATGCACCCCGATCCCGGACAGCGAAATGGCGTAAGACTCTGTGTTTATCTCATTCTCAGGCCCCTTCACGCTTTAATGAGGAAGCATTTCACAGCAGTCGCTCAAAAAGAGCCTAAAACAACCCGCGTCATTCACATTTCGCCTTTTTTAAATTAATTTAAGAACGCTTTCATTTCTTACAATCAAATACAAGGTTTCTTTTGCTTATTTTGTTTTTAGTTTGCTCCATAAGTCATTTAATTAATAGATAAATAATCGATTATGTAGTTTAGGCATAACCTGACCGTTAAGTTTTCTTTAGATTTTGGCTTGGTTGCTTTCTAAAAGCTGTTTTCCTGCTTCTAGGGGGGAACAAAAATTTGATTTTAGGATCTTTTATCAACTTGAATCAGAATCTTTGTGCGTTTGACGCTGCTGCTCATTTAGCTGTCCGGTTATCTTTGTTACTGAGGTGTTATAAAAGGTCCACCGAGAGCTTTCACAAATGTTCAGACCAGTCCCTGCTCCTCCAAAAGGATCGGTCCTCCCTCCTTTTATACCTGCCTCTGTTTCAAATGTCTCTTTTGCGCCCTATCGCATTCAGTGTAATGTCTGTGTTGCTAAAAGTGGATATTTTCTGTCTAAAAATGCAAACCAAGGATCACTTTTGGAGTAGAACTCACTCTGAGGTATCGTATTTTGCCTAAGTCTCGTCAGAAGTGAAATATGGACCTGAGGAGGACCCGTTTGGAGGCTCACTCCTGTGTTTCTGTGCGCTATTCTGTAGGACTCCAGTCAGATCGGGCTCCTGAAGGAGCTCCTGGACCTTCAGAAGGACATGGTGGTGATGCTGCTGTCCCTGCTTGAAGGTTAGAAGTCGGCGTTCCATCTCTTTATTCTTTTTATTTATTTATACTTTTTTTTTTTAAATTAATTTGTTTATTAATTTGTTTTTTGGCCTGTGGGTGGGGTGGGTGGTCAGGGTGGATTAGGGGTTGACAGAACTGTGTCAGGGGGGTGGATCTTGGAGGTAGGACTCAGTCGCGGAGAGGGTTAGTTCCAGGGGTTTTATTGTAACAAAAGGACACTCAAAAGAGTGGATGGAGACAAAGTTCAAAAACAGGGCTGTGGCAAAACTATGAGCAAAGTAACAGAGCAAGGTTAACAAAACTGTGGCAAAGTATCAAAACAAGACTATGGCAAAAGTACAAACAAGATAAACATGGCTGTGGTCAAAACAAGGCGATGGCAAGGCTGTGACAAAAATAGGACTATGGTACGAAAAGCTAGACTGTGGCAAACTATCAAGGAGTAAACAAGGCTATGGCAAAGTAACAAAATAAAGATTAACAAAACTGTGGCATGGCTGTGGCAAAACTATGAGCAAAGTAACAGAGCAAGGTTAACAAAACTGTGGCAAAGTATCAAAACAAGACTATGGCAAAACAAACAAGATTAACATGGCTGTGGTCAAAACAAGGCTATGGCAAAGGGCAAATAACCAAACCCTTACATGACGTGGGGAGACGAAAGACGAGAGACGAAAACACACTGGCACAGGACATGGGAAACGAGGACTATTTAAACACATGAGGGAGGGGAACCCCAGGTGTACACAATAGGTAATCAAGACATGACGAGACACCAGACATTCCCCCAGACGTGACAAACTGTGACATTGAGTTTGTATCTTATGTTCAAAATGTTCAACAAACAAAGTTTGAAAAAAAAAAAGAAGTTGGCGTTCCTCCGTTTTGGCCGCCGTTGGCCGGCCCGATCTCACCCTGTTGTTGTTGTCCCAGGCAACGTGGTGAACGGCACCATCGCCCGGCAGATGGTGGACATGCTGGTGGAGTCGTCCAGCAACGTGGAGATGATCCTCAAGTTCTTCGACATGTTCCTGAAGCTCAAAGACATCGTGGCGTCCGACGCCTTCCGCGACTACGTGACCGACCCCCGGGGCCTCATCTCCAAGAAGGACTTCTCCAAGGCCATGGACAGCCAGAAGCAGTACTCCCCCTCGGAGATCCAGTTCCTCCTCTCCTGCTCCGAGGCCGACGAGAACGAGATGATCAACTTCGAGGAGTTCGCCGACCGCTTCCAGGAGCCGGCCAAAGACATCGGCTTCAACATCGCGGTGCTGCTCACCAACCTGTCGGAGCACGTGCCCCACGACACCCGGCTGCAGAACTTCCTGGAGCAGGCGGAGAGCGTGCTCAACTACTTCCGGCCCTTCCTGGGCCGCATCGAGATCATGGGCGCCAGCCGGAGGATCGAGCGCATCTACTTCGAGATCAGCGAGGCCAACCGCAACCAGTGGGAGATGCCCCAGGTGCGGGAGTCCAAGCGGCAGTTCATCTTCGACGTGGTGAACGAGGGCGGCGAGAGCGAGAAGATGGAGATGTTCGTCAACTTCTGCGAGGACACCATCTTTGAGATGAACATCGCCGCCTCCATCTCCGAGCCCGAGGGCGACGGCGAGGAGGAGGAGGACGAGGAGGAGGAGGAAGAGGGCGGGGGGGACGAAGGGGAGCCCGGGGAAGGGGAGGAGGGCAACGGCGAGGGCGCCGTCCCGGAGTCCGCCTCGGCCTTCGCCGAATTCATCAAGAGTGTGGTGAACTTCTTCAACATGTTCACCTTCCGAAACCTCCGGCGGCGCTACCGCAAACTGAGGCGGATGACCATCAAGGAGATGGTGGTGGGGCTGGTCACCTTCGTCTACACGGTGCTGATGGGCGTCCTGGTCTTCGTCTACAACGTCTGCAAGGGCTTCTTCACGCTCGTCTGGAAGGCACTGTTCGGCGGCGGCCTGGTGGAGGGCGCCAAGAAGATGACCGTCACCGAGATCCTGGCCAGCATGCCCGACCCGACCCAGGACGAGGTCCACGGAGACCTGCCCCCAGAGCCGGGAGCCAGGGAGGTCCAGGACGCGGACGGGGGGGCGGACCACTTGGATTCCGGTGGAGGGGAAGAGGAAGACGAGGGCGGGGAGGAAGGGGAAGGCGGGCGCCTGCCTGGGTTCAACACCCCTGGAGGACTTGGGGACTTTGGAGAGACGACCACAGAGGAGCCCCCGACTCCGGAGGGCACGCCGCTGTTGACGAGGAAGCTGGTAGGTCTTTTTTGGGGGGTCAAACTGTTTTATTGAGGGATCAGGCGGTGGGAGATTGTCTCCCTTTTTTCCTGATCTGGGCATGATCAAATCAAAAAGACGTCACCAAATCTATCTATCTATCTATCTATCTATCTATCTATCTATCTATCTATC